ACACCGCATCACTCGTGGAAAATAACTTCCATACGCAACGAAAGCCACGGGGAGGGTGTGGGGTTCTGTCATAGTCTGTCGGAATGAAGGGGGCATAAAGATTTTGCTGTTGAAAATATTTTATTTCTATTGACTGACGATAATATGCCAGTGACATTTTGATTTGTTCACTCTTCACCCACAGGAATTAGTTTCACAAATTCTCTAGTGCATCCCGAGTTTGGAAATGAGGAAACCCTAGTCAGAAAAAACAGTCGGCCATCTTTAATAATCAGTATAAAAACAAACTATAAACTACTCTACCTTGTCTTTGAAATAACGGCACCTTTACTTTTAAACGTTGGTTTTGAGGGTAATGTAGGCACAGTACCATTAAAAGTGGTATCCAGTTTGTTCTCGAACCTCGTTGGACAAACCGCTCGTGGTTGGACAATTGCCGCAACTGCTCTCGGCGGATGGACTCCATGATCTTTTCCTCGAGCAATACCAATTTTCGATGGTCTTAAAGACGGTTTTTGACAAACAGACGGTTTAGGAATAGATGTCGCATCAGTTCTACTCCGTTTTGGAATTGACGATGGTGCAGGAATACATCTCCTTCCGGACATGACGACAAATGTTAGGCGTGCTGAAAAATAAGCTCTCTCCAGTTCGTTTGAATTATCCGCCGGTTTAGCTGTCGTCGAGGGCGCTAACTCTAATGTCAGAGTTGAAAATTGAGGAGCATCTGCTTGGAAGTACTTTTATTTATTAGACACAACACTGTCTCCATTGAGATCAGAAGCAAGTTCACTAACATTACATAACAACAAGCAAAAAATGGAAAATATAATAACATTTGTAAATGTAACTTCCTTGTTATATAATGATTTGATGTTGCTGGCTTGTAGAAAAGATGAATTTAACTGAATAAATTCTGCTTTTATCAGTAATTATGTTATGTTCATTCATTATCAAATAAAATTTAGTTTTCTCAGCATTATGCATAAAACCTGGTATGCACTTTTAAGCTTCTTCATGTAGCTGTTGTCTTTGCTGTTTATAAATGAGACAAGATATAATAAAATGGAATACATCTTTATCATATAATTCACAAATCCTGCTTTCCGTTGTGACAGTTTTGTTTTGTTTCTACTTATAATAATAGAAGAAACAGCTAATTACAGAAAAATCATTAATGAATCATTACATGTTTGCACTTCAACCCCTGAAAAGTGTTCACAATACTTTAATTGTAACCGCTCTGCTTGAATGTATTTGCGGAACCCATACAAAAGGACGGGCATGATTAGCGTATCAGAGAGTTTAAAGTAAACCTCCAACCTAATATTTACAACTTTACATTGAAATGTGAACAGAGAAAACATTGTCTTCTGTACTTGCGATGTTGAATTACAAACAGCCTTCGACCAAGTATTTCTACATGATATCATTAAACTAAGATGTTTGTAAGAGTTTACCAATTCAATACATTCCTCATTTGTGAACCATTTTCATTTACATACATTTAGTATTTACAAGTTATGAATAAAATAAAACAATCCGAAAGAATCACAGAGGTCGGAGACTAGAGGCACTTCTAAAACTAAGAATTTCGAGGTGATGTGGTAATCTATCTTAAAATCGATATTACTTGAAATATTCTCAAAGTTTTCATCAACTGAACTAATGTGAAACTGACAGAATACGTCTGTGGAGATAATTATCATCTCATCGATTTATTGCTCTGTTCAGTATCCTTTGGAGATAGTATTATTTCTCTCTGACTCGGTCATTTGTCAGTCCCTGCGAATATTGATTGATTATTTCCACCTGTCCGTAAGATGATCTAAGGCGATGAAGTTGCCACTAGGATTGCACTATTACTTCAAGATCAAAGATAATGATATTATTACACTAATATAGCATAAGTAGATTCTTGATAATTTAAACAGGCAATTATTATCATTTATATTTATTACATAATTGTACAATTTTCTAGTGTGATCGAATGCATAGTTTAAAACGAAATACTTCATCCACACATTTTCTGCATAGTCAGTAATTAGCTTGGTTTTGTGGTTTTCTTCTTGTCTCTAGTTCAACTTTCAAGATAGCTGTAGCATTGGGAGAACAACTTTAGTCTGAACCTCCAGCAGAATATTCTAGAAGTACTGGAAGTTCTTGTCTTAGTTGGCGGCTATCCCCCAAATAAATACCGCACACTGCAATAGTGTTACGCCATGATCAATCCAATTATTTATCAAATTCATTCTACCTGGCTTTCGTAGTGTGTGTGTGTGTGGGGGGGGGGGCAAAATTGTATTTTTAAGATTGTGGTCACTCGGACGAAATTTTTAGAGGCAAACCCTACATTCAATGTATTCAAGAAAAAGTTATTCCAGAAATTTGATTTAATGTAGGCCTCACCCCTAAAAATAATTACAGACAAATTTCGACGAGTTTTGCCGTAATTATATTACGATAGTTTTCAACGAAACAACTAATTTCAGCTATTTTTACGGTCCCAAATTAGAAATTATTTATTCAAATATTTAAAAATCCAGTTATATTTAATTAAAAGTTTAACACGTTGACAAAGAGTGTTTTATTTGGTATTACATCCATTCACAACAAAAACTGTTCTTGACTAACAGTTTAGTAACAATTTATGCAACTACAAACACTTGCCAAAGAGAACGTTGGAACATTGCCAGCGTGAAATTGTGCCCTGATCGACGTATAGTGAAACACTAGAAAGTTGCTTTATCAACTTTGTTAGCATAAATTCACCTATTTCTTGCTGTTATCATAGCTTACTTCAATAGTTCACAATAAGTTGATTCTTAGTTTGTTTTTCCATTCCATGAATTTAAATATTGTAAACAAATGTTTTTCCAATAATTGATATTGGTGGAGAGAAATGGGCATACACCGACAATGACATCTTCTATTGGAGATTTGATCAGAGTTTTATCATTCCAGGCAACACAGCTGTATTCTAGAATAAAATATTGTTAGGGCCTTAATTTTAATTTGCTTGAGCACATCTGCTTAATTCCTGAAAATTAAAACTTTTATCAGTGTTGGCATTGAGCCTCCATTTGTTGGAAAAAGTGTCATATGAAGATTGTAGACCACACACTTATATTCATATGAAGACTGTAGACCACACACTTGTATTCATATGAAGATTGTAGACCACACACTTGTATTCATATGAAGACTGTAGACCACACACTTGTATTCATATGAAGACTGTAGACCACACACTAATATTCATATGAAGACTGTAGACCACACACTTGTATTCACATTAAGTTTGTAAACCACCCACTTGTGTTACAGAGATTGTAAAAAACACACACTTATATTCATATGGAGATTGTAGACCACACACTTGTATTCATATGGAGATTGTAAACAAGCAGCCTGTCGGCTGAGATAGCTCCGCTGTTACCAATGCACATTTCAATTAAAGAACAGAAGATATCATTAGGAAATGAACAATATGTAGACTTGCTGTTTTTAACAAGAATTCAAAAATATCACTTTTCACCAAAAATGACAAAAATAATCATCAAAATTAGATAATTGAAGATATCACCACGAAATTAACAACTCTGAAAGAGATCCACATGTAGTACCTATATATGTAATATAAAAGAAATCGGACTTGTGATTTTTAACAAGAAGTCAAAAATATCACTTTTTAACAAAAATTACAAAAATATTCACTGAAATTAGAAAATTAAAGATATCATCACGAAATGAACAAATCTGAGAGAGGTCCACATGTAGTACCTATATATGTAATATCAAAGCAATTGGACTGTCGGTTTTCAACAAGAAGTCGAAAATGTCACTTTTTACTAAAAATTACAGAAATATTCATCAAAATTAGAGAATTGGAGATATCATCATGAAATGAACAAATCTGAGAGAGGACCACATGTAGTACCTATATATGTAATATCAAAGCAATTGGACTTGCGGTTTTTAACAAGAAGTCGAAATTATAACTTTTTAGCAAAAATGACAAAAATATTCACCAAAATTAGAGAACTAAAGATATCATTACAAAATGAACAAATCTGAGAGAGGTTCACATGTAGTACACATATATGTAATGTCAAAGCAATTGGACTTGTGGTTTTTAACAAGAAGTCGAAAATATCACTTTTTACCAAAAATGACAAAAATATTCACCAAAATTAATGAACAAACAACTCTGAAAGAGATCCACATGTAGTACACATATATGCTATATCAAAGCAATTGGTTTTTAACCAGAAGTCGAAAAAGTAAAACATTGACACGGACGACGGACAACAAACGACGACGGACAATCACTCATATGATAAGCTAAAAACACACACTTACCGTAAAATCTGTATTAGAAGCCGCATCCCTAATAGAAGTCGCACCCATTCTTTTTGAATAATTGAGAACCAAAAATTCGTCATTTCTCATATGTGTAGATGCTCTAATAGAAGCCTCATCCCCTCTATTGCATTGTACCATTTTAATAGAAGCCGCGGTTTCTAATACAGATTTTACAGTATATTTATATGGAGATTGTAGACCACACTTGTATTCATATGGAGATTGTAAAAAGCACACACTTTTATTCATATGAAGATTGTGAAAAGCACACATTTGTATTTATATGGAGATTATAGACCACACTTGTATTAATATGGAGATTGTAAAAAGCACACTTTTATTCATATGGAGATTCTAATGCACACTTTTATTCATATGGAGATTGTAAATCCCACATTTGTATTCATATGGAGATTGTAAAAAAACACACACCCTGCTTGTATCCATATGAATATTGTAGACCACACACTTGTATTCATATGTAAACCTCATGAATATATTCAAATGAAGATGTAAACCACACACTTGCATTATTATGAAAATTGTATACTTCACTATTCATATAGAAATTTTACAAAGAATATTTTTTGTGAATTTCTCTCCAGCAATGGTGTGACATTTTGTGGCAGTGAATAGGGAGTCACACATATGGAATCATCAACATTTACACAACATACTTGTGTTTTCTAACTCATCAAAGTGTTGCACTGTAGCCTTGTTATAACAAACTCTTTGGGAGACATACAATTAGTTTGTTATAGTGAAATGTTCACTATATTGAAGCACATAATACATTGGGTTTGTTGTAAGCGGGGGACATATGTTATGTGTTCATTATATCAGGAAATTTGTTATAAAGGTGTTCATTATATTGAGGTTACAGTGTATATGGATGTGGACAGCAAGACTCTCGCATCTAAAAAATACAATACATAATATTTCAAATCCTTTTATTTTGTGTATCACATAAACAAGATTTCAGAATAATATATACCGGGGTAATTATATATATATTACACCATGTGTTAATAAGAAAGAACATAGTATCATATAATATTAGCCCAAATATAGTACGGTGATGCATATTTCACTCTGGTGTAGAGATACAAAGCACTGTGGGCAGAATTATAGATGCATGGCTATTCAAATTCAGGGTGCTACCCTACTAATTTGTAAAAGTATATATATATATATATAAATACAGAAAGACTGATTACAGAAGATAACAAAGGGAGGCTTATTCACGATCATTGTTACATTGCAGTGATTGAGTTTATTCGCAGGAGACTTACACTTTTTCTTCTCTGCCTTTGAATCTAACTAGGAAATCTTTACTAAAATGCAATCATTATAAATTTGCATACAATCAGCAGATGTAAATTGTAGTTGTAAATTGCTGAAAAAATTATGGGTTTTCAATCTCCTGACATTCTCCAGTCATCTTTCGTCAGAGTTGTTGTCAATACAGTGATTAGAATGAGGGTTCCACAACAACAAAAGTAAGAATAATAGTATCCACATATGTACTGTAGAATACTTTATTTTAGGTGGAATTTATTTTTGGTGAAAAGGTTTTTTAGGTGTTTTGTATGGAATTTATTTTCGCTGATTTTTGGCGAGTTGAATGTAAAATATAGGGAAAAAGGGATAATCGCTGGACTTTATTTTTCAATGAATCATTCCTTCAGCAAAATAGCGAAAAATATTTCTAAGCGAAAATAAAGTATTTTACAGTAATATACAAATATAAAATAGCATCCCAAACATAATATACACACTGATGCATTCACTGTGATTTACAGATACGCAGGAGGCTGGAAAGCCATTTGACAGTCACCATGTGAATTCCATATTTTATAATCTGCACTCATTAATTCTCTCACTGAAATAAATAATATGGAATGATTACTGATGTATCTATTGAGGATATACAACATGAGAGTAACCATATATGTATGGTAATATGCAATGAACTTGTTCAGTACAAGTGTACATATCAATCAAACTTTTTTCAACCAATAGCATTGCAGAATGTAATGGACGCTTGACATACTTTAATTGCTTTCAGATAGAAATCTACTCATGAATGCAAATATCAAGAATTTATTCATTTTCCAATAAATTGAACTTCTGAGCAAGGGTATTGACTTAAAAAAAGTTTGTGGTCACCAGCTTAATTTTTGAGAAAAATGATGATTGTATTTTAGTGGTTAGAGATCATTGTGGCAGTATTATAGTGTTCCTATGGCAGAGATATTATGCCATAGCCAAATTGTAGGCTTTTGTTGTCCTCAATTAATTCAAAAACCTGGGTTTTAAAAAGCATCAATAAATGCAATTTTTCTTTAACATTGTCGAATTGTTCTAAAAATAGCATTTTTTGAAAAGTTTTAGAACTCTCTCAAAACACGTGACACACAAACAAATTTCTATTTCATGGTGCCATGAGATAACAGCTTCATGATATTACACAATAAACCAATGAACATTGTCATGTGATTTATGACCAACTTAATCATAAACAAGTCATTGTCAATGACATGTCCCCGTTCCGTTCATATTAGAGTGACATATACATTCAAAGCAGATCATGACCGAAATGCACCTGCATATGTACAACACATTGCACTAAATCTGAACAAAATCCATCCATGCATGACTGAGATCTGGTTCCGGAATTGTGAAAATACGTGATTTTAATGCATTTTCAGTCTTAAAATGGCCATCATTCAGCTATTGTTAAGCAGATCATGAAACAAATGCACATATCTATTTGTGACATGATGTACCATGTGTGTGTGAAGTTTGAACTTGATCAATCCAGACATGTCTTGGATACGGATCCAGAACTGAATTCTTTAAGAAAATGACCGCCAGTCGGCCATTTTGAACTTGATCCAGAAAAAAAAATGACGTGCATCAAGGTCCTATTATGTTT